ACCAGCCACTCCTCGGAAGGAAGGTTGGGCAATCCTACTTCCGTAGTGATACTGCCTCGGAAACCCAAGGAGGGGTCGTTATGAGTCGGGGCCGACTGGACGGTACATAACAACAACAACAACAACAGCTACCTCAAAATTACCCTAGCAAAGATCAATTCCCATTTCTCTCACAAAGCACAGAGAACTGATGGAAACTATGGGCACTAGATTTCCAGGTTATGGAGTCTGCTGTAGTAAAGTGTTCAGTTTATATACTACCTTGCAACCAGATGAAAGTCACTAGTCCAAAACAAAGCTCTTGTTCTCTTCCCAAATGTTATGCCATAAATCTCTAAAATGAACAATGCACTAATAAAAGTGAACAAACAAACAAAGACCCTCATTTGAGCCAATTTGGGTTTATTAATCATGCTAAGCTGGGGAGAAGAGAATATGTAATTTTGATATTTTCTGGTTAAAATAAATTACTTCTTTTAACAACTGAAAAGTTACTTCTCTGTAACAAGATAATAGTAAGAATGGAGCTCCATTCACTTTTTACAAGCAAATGAAATCTAACTGAAACTTCCCATCATGTTAATAAATGTATAAACCAAAAAAAAAAAAAAAAAAGAGAAGAAAACAAACTCACTGCCATTGAGTCGGTTCCAACTCATAGTGACCCCTACTGGGTTTCTGAGGCAGTAAATCTTTATGGAAGTAGATCACCCCATCTTCCTTCCATGGAGCAGCTGGAGGGTTTGAAGCGCCAACCTTCTGGTCAGCAGTCAAATGCCTTAGGCACTACGCCACCAGAGCTCCTTAATAAAAGTATGAAGGCCCATTTTATAAAGATTCTACTTACTGCATCAATTTCCTAGCTGCTATTTTTCTTAAAATACAAGCAAACAAACAAAACCTGCTTGTCTGAAAAACTGTTAGGATCTTACCTGGCACAACAATTTCATACCGTGTGAGCAGTCAACTAAACTGGGGTCATCATATAACCAGTCATAGAACTAAAACAAGCCTATTTTACTAACAGGGTGGTGGTTCTATTTTACTACCTGTGCAATTCTCATATAACTCTTTAACAAAGATTGTTCACCCTTCATTGGTAAAAACGCCACGTGCACTTTGAAACCACTCCATGCCATGTATACACACTTCATGTTCAAGGCCACACACAGTACACTGTATAGCACAGGCACTTATTTACGAAAATTTCACATGGAGACAAACCTTAAATGGTGTGGGAGCAAAAGAGTTAGGTGGGGAACAACAGACGATAACTCTACTTGAATTCTGTAATTCCTACAGTAACAGAAAATGTATTTCTTCAGATACCGCATCTTTGGTTATCTATACTACAATAACACAAAAATCTGATGAATATTCATAATATGCCTCCTGAAAGAAACTGTTGGCAGCTTTCTTCTTTTTCATGATCAAATTATGGTATATTAGTTCTTGTGATTTTTTTTTTTCAATTTTGGTTTTATAATTTCATCAGAATATGAGAATCTCCAAGAATATATATACCAAGCTGAAAGTTACATGTTTCTTGATTCAGGCATTTGCATGGACACACATGAATATTCAACAGACTCCTGCATGGACACAATTACAGTATTTTCAGAGTAACTCAATCCCAGATTGGGTTTTTGGAGCTCACCTTGTAGAAATTTGAGAAAGGTTTAAGCCAGTAAGGTTTTAAAGAAATTATGTGTGAAAGTATTTCACACATCTGGCAACTAATAGAAATTTAAATATCAGAACATTTAAATCACACCAAAATACAGAGAAGGTATTAATACGACTCATGATTCTTCTCTACACTTCAGAAGGGCCATCTAATTTCAGCTATAAAAGTGAATAGGCTCTGGCAAGACAATTTGTTTAAGAAAGGATATGTATGGCCACTCCAAACTAGCAGGGTTTTGTTTTGTTTTTCACCAGCCCAAATTAAGTACACAGTGAACTGGGACAAAAGCACAGGAGTGACAGAGAGCAGAACGTTTGCAAAAGGCAATCATAATGGGCATTATCCAACCTTGTCAGCGTTGAACTGTAGAGAGTCAGCAAATGGGTTAGTGCTGCTGAAGTTGTACTTAGGGTAAAGCTTGTGCGGCAGGGAAGGCAAAGGGGATTTCTAAAAGGAAACATAAGAGCCGCTGAGCGCAAAAGAAATGTATTGAAAACAAATCAGTTTTAAGAACAAAGTACTTCCTGATTTAAATAACTGTCTGTATGAAAATAGATCCTATCAGAGCTAGTAAATAATAACATCTTTTCCAAACAGTCTGGGACTAAAAGTTTGCCTCTAATTACCAGATTCCACACCTGAGTCTCAATTAGTCCACAAACCACACAGGAAACCAGTATCTTAACCCCAAATTTCTTTTATTTTCACTGAGTGTCTTCACTAACACAAACACATGCACATATATTGCACCCACTTGGTATCTTAAGTTCGCCTGAATGCCAGTAAACATGTTTCAAAATTAAAACCATAAAAACTTATTCATTTATATTTAAAAGCTATATATTGACATCTATCTATCTATAGAGATAGATATATCTATATAGATGTATCTATCTATACATATATATATATGTTGTTGTTGTTATGTGCCATCGAGTCGGAACTGACTCATAGCGACCCCTTCTTGGGTTTCCAAGGCATTATCACTACGGAAGTAGATTGCCCAACCTTCCTTCTGAGGAGCGGCTGGTGGGTTTGAACCGCCAGCCTTCTGGTTAGCAGTCAAGTGCCTTAGGCACTATGCTACCACAGCTATATATATATATA